TGGGGCAGGGTGGCTGCGACGAGCGAGAGCCACGAGCGGCCCCGGCTCTCGGTGAGCAGCTCTGCCTGGGGGTGTTTGGGGGAGATGGCGGAGGAGAGAGAGGGTGGTGGGTGATGCGTGCTGCTGAACAGCTCTTAATCACCCAGCGGGGTGCAATCCTCCCCTTTCCCTCTGCCCCTTCATTAGCATCCCTCCTTGTCACACACCTTGCTGTGGGTCAGCTGCAGCAGCCCCTCTCCCTGCCCAAGCGTGCCGGAGCACCGTCTGCCCTGTGCATCCCCGGAGGTGGACTCGTGCATCGGAGCTGATGGAGCTGGAGGCTTTATATCTGTTTCGCTGTGTGAGAGGTGGAGAGAGGAGGGTGGCTGGTGGCCGCGGGGCCCCTGCCTTGCTGAATGCCCATGCAGACAAAGGCGTGTTATGAAATCCCCGTGTTGCTCCTGTCCTGGCCTTCCCCTGCACAAAACAAACCCCTCTGTCAACAAAAGCGGTAGCCACCCAGCATGGGAGCTGTTTATCTCGTGCAGGGAAGAGCCACGGTCCCAGCCCCCAGGCCTTGGCAGCTTCCAAACTGCTTTGGCCGTAATGTCTGGCGCAGGTTCACCCTGCGGGTGCGAGCAATGCCATCCCCTTAGACTGGCACCACTTGGGAGCCTCCAAGGTCTCGTGTCCTGCGTCCCGGCTGCCGGGGGGATGCTCCTTTCTGCAGCCTTGCGGGGATTGCCAGGCAAAGGCAGAGCTGCCGCCTCCGTGTCTTGCCCCTGGATCGGGGGACTTGTCAACTCTGGGGTGCATGGGGCACCACAGCTGGGGTGTGCATCCCTGGCCTCGTCTCGGGGAGGTGTTTGCTGTGCCCTGGTGGTGACAAAGCCCATGACAAGGGTGAAACTGCTAAACAAACAGCCAAGGAAAGGGCAGAACGGTGCAAAACGTGCTGTCATCACCGAGCTTCGAGGGCACGTAAATGAAACCCTCCTCAGGCTTGGCACTGGTGGAAGAAACACGCCTCGAGGCCATACCGCTTCCAGTGCTGGGAATGAATGGTGCTTCAAGAGAGGCTGGCCTCCATGCGGCTTTGTGTTTTGTGTTCTTTTGTTTGGTTTTTTTTTCTTTAAATAGATATACTTTATTTACACTGCTCTAACATCTGTGTTGAAAGGCAGCAGGCAGGATCACTGGGCTGGGAGGGGGTGGCAGCCACCTGTCTGTCCCGTGGGGGGTCCTGCCCATGGGCCGAGTCCTGAGAAACTTCATTTTTGGGCAGAGTGTGAGCCCAGGAGCGTGAGGTTGGGCTGCTGGGAAGCAGCGGGTATTTGTGGGGCTTCTGGCAGGGCTTCATGTCTCCTCTGCTTGCAGGTGTGGGTCTGGGTGGTCCAAGCCTCTCCTCTAAATCACTTCCAGCTTAAAAGTAAGCAGTTCTGGGATGTAGGCGTGGGCAATCCCCCTAAAGCTGTCCCTGGGGCTGGAGGTAATGGCAGGGTTGGGCAGGGTTGTCCCCAGGATTGCTGTGAGGCTGATGGAGCAAGGGACCCAAAAAGATGCTTTGAGCGCCTGGTGCTGTCTGCGGGCTGCATGACGGAGCCTGAGCTGGTCCGTCTGTCTGACGTGCGAGGGAAAGCCCCTGGCTGTGGTGCAGAGGGCTGTCAGAGGCGGCCAGTGCGGCAATAAGGGTTTTTTTCAAGCTGTGCCTGTGGGGAGAGAAGTGCAAAGGACATAGGTCAGTGCTGAGTTAATGGTTTATGTTAGTGTTTGCTTCTGTGTTAATCATGCCTGCGAATATCAACCACTTCCTACCATAAAAGCACATATGTGCACCTTTCTGTTCACAAGCTCAGCAGCTCTGGTAGGAAATCTGGCGAGGGATGGGGCTTGGGGAGGGGTTGGGAGGAGGAGCTGACCCCAGCCCCGAAGCTTTGCAAGGAGGCGGCAGTAAAGGGGTTGTGTGTGGAGCAGATCCGCTGGCTACAGCCGTGTCTCTCATGAAGATATCTGCCCCTCCTGTGGCTTCTTATTTTCCTTTTGCTTTGTATTGTGCGGATAAAAGGCCGCGGGGGCTGCAGCAGAGGTGTGCAGGATGCGGTGGTTCAGTTTGCAGAGAGGGGTCTCTGAGCATCCCCCCCGGAGCGGCTCCATCCGGAGCTGGGCTGCAGCTTCTGCCTGCCCCAAGTCAGCCGGTCCCTTCCCGGCTCAGACCTCCCAGCCCGGCTTTGCGGTGGTTCCTGGTGGGAAGTGACATCTCGGATGCCCGTAGGAAGGGCTGGGCTGCGTTGGGGCATTTTGGCCATGACGACCCTCTTCCTCCCCGTTGGATTCACGGGGAGGTCCTGGAAGTCCTCGCCAGGGTAGTGGCTCCATCGCTCCAGCCAGGTCTGCTCCCTGCGACCCCCTGGGACATCCCCCTGTGTGACAGGACACGAGGGCCTTGCTAACCATCACTAGTGCCTGGGCTGATCTTGGCTCCTAACGCCAGCCCTGGTGCCTCCTGGAGAGTCGAGCATCGGGTGAGTCACCAAAACCTGGTGCTGCTTCTGACGTATGGGGAGAAGAGGATGATCCCAAAACAAAAACCTGGGACTGAATAGGCCCCTAATTTTGTTTTTCTCAGATATGTGAAGCTGAAACTATTTATTTCTGTTCATTAAACACCAGCTCTAGCCTGCTGCTGGTGCCGTGAGCCAGCGGGGATGCTTCGTGCTGCTGCCTTGTTGCCATTTACCTGCTTTGACTTTTCCCATGAGTTTCATAGCCCCCTCCTGCCTGCCACCTCCCCGTCCCCTCCCTACGCACTCGTCCCCGGTGGCCCCACCGTGCTGGTGGCCCTTCCCTCAGCATCCAGGGCACTGCTCCTGGGCACCCGCTTCAGAGGTTCACCTCCTTGAAATCAATGTGCCAAGAATATTTTTGCTGCTGGGAAATGGGCTCTGCGCAGCGGGACTGGCCGGGGGTCAGCGCCCCGATTGCATGGGGGGCACGGGCCCCTGGCAGGTGGCTCTTATTTAAGCCCGGGCCTCTCTTCTGCTCTTCGCCTTTGTGTGCCTGGAGAGGCTTTTGTTGCAGCCTGAAAAGGCTGAATAGCT